AAAAAAAAAAAAAAAAAGGAAATACTGCACTGTAATTTTTTAAGGAAGTAATTAGCACATTTACTGTTTTGAAGACTGACTTATGTAACAGTAAGAAATAGTGAAAATTCAAGTTTAACATCCAAGCACATGGTTTTATGTTTCAGAACAAAATGGATTCCTTTTATGACTGGTGGCATATTCATGCCCCATTGATTTTTTTGCTTGCATTGGACATTTTATATATCAATAACGCAAATACTAGCAGGCACCAACTGAAAATAACAATATTTCAATTATTGGCATGGCCCTATTATTTCGCGAATTATTTAAGCAAAAACTTACAAAATGTACTTAGTTCATGTACATTATTTAAATTTTATTAGTCCTTAATATAAATGTAACTCAAAAGAGAAAAACGATTTAAAATCTAAAGTGGGTTCACTAAAACCAAAGTAATTATTTAAATTGGAAAATATTCCATGTGTCTTATTACCAAGCCAGTGTCTTGACGATGGGATTTTAAGTGCCATTTGCCCAGTTTGCAGACAGCGGGGAAGCCACCCTCAGAGAGAAAACGCAGTAAACGCCTCGGCCCTTGGAGTGGGGAAGTTCTGGGGCACCATTTTCGCCTGCAGAATCAGCCCCGTGCCACGAGGGGGCGCCACCGGCGCGGCTGGCGAGGCGGGGCGCCTGCAGCACGCGTCCTTAGCGGGCGAGGCCCTGGCTCCGTTCCCACCGCCGCCCGGGAAAGAGACCCCGTTTTGCAGATGAGCAAGGGCGCAAGCCAAGTCGCGTCACGCAGAAGAGGCGGAAGTGGGATTTGAACCTACGTCTCTGTGATTCTGCAGCCTGAAGGAATTTCCACCCGTGGCTCTCTCCGTGTTTGAGGGGTGCTTTTCTTCTACCAGTCCCACTCCGTGTGCCCCCTCCCGTTTCCTAGCACCCTCCTCTCCCGCCTCGGGTGCACGCACCTCCTCAAACTCCCCCCAACACCTGTCTCAGGTGTCACCCTTTCCCCGCAGCCGCCGCCCATGTAATCGGACTGCTGAGCACCCCCTGCACCTGTCCCCTCATCTCCTCCCCACCGTCCTGTCTGGGCCCAGCCCTGTCCTCGCCTGCCTGCCCGGGTCCCTGCCTGGGCCTCGCCTGGGCTCCCAGCCTTGGAGAGGTAGAGCCACCTGCCCAAGTTCACACACGGCAGAGGAGGCAGTGCTGAGAGTCAGGATTCATAGGTGGGTCCACCTGGATCTTGCTCCTTCTCCCAGGAAGGCCGGTGTCCCAGGAAGAGAGACATCAAGTGGTGCAATCGCCCCGGCCCCGACCCCACCCCCCCACCACCGAAGCCTGGGAACCAGAGGCCCTGGGCACATCCCCCTGCCCATGTGGCCAGACATTAGCACAATCTGGAATTTCAGGTCTATAAATCACTTGGTGGCAGGGAGCTCATAAAAGCTGTTGTTGCATCCTGGTCTACCTGCTTGGCCTCTTGTCCCCTCCTCCGGCCCCCCCTTCCTTGGAGGGGCCCGTGCGTACATAGGGAGCCAGTGCGAGTGGGCTGGCCAGAGAGGCTTCTGGCAGAGCAGGTGAAGGGGGCACTCTGCCGGGCTGGAGGCAGCGGGGAGGCTGGGAGGGTCGGAGGCTCAGGGAGGGCCGGCGCCGCGTTCTGGCCGGTGACTGCCCTGTCTGAGCCCAGCTTTCCTCTCCTGTGAACGGCTCCCCAGCAGGGTGGTGGGCACGCTGGTACCAGCCTGGGCCCAGCAGAGCGCCAAGCAGCCCCCAGCAGCTGGGGTGTGGAGTGGAGATGGGGAGGTCCAGCCAGGGCCCCCCCCCGCCTGCCCTCCCCTGGAGGCCTCTGCCTGGCCTCACCCCTGCTCTTGTGTCCCGGGCAGGACGATGGCTCCCGCAACAGCAGAGGCAGAGAAGGGCTCTCCGGTCGCGGTGGGGCTGCTTGTCGTGGGCAACATCGTCATTCTGGTGAGACGGGCCGCAGTGCCCGGGTGTGTATAGGGGGGCAGGCCTGAGCGTGGGGTGGGGGCTGAGGGCCCAGAACTCCCTAGCAGGCCGCGCCGCAGACTCTCAAGTCAGCACAGCCCGGGTTTAAACCCCAGCTCCGCCTCTCCCCAGCTGTGTGACCTTAGCAAGCAACTTGACTTCTCTGAGCCTCATTTTCCTCATGTATAGATTGCGACCTCATGGTGTGAAATGTGTGGATTAATCTATGCGTAGCCCTCAGCTCAGACGTGCTCGACAGGTGCTAGCTATCGTCGTCGACATCACTGTGGACATAAAGTGACTGCCGGGCACACAGGAGGCCACAATAATGAATAACAATGGCTTTCCATTCACGTCGGGTTTTGTTTTGTTTTGTGAATATGTGATTCCTGCACATGGCTTGATTTCTGGGAGTGGAATTGCTGGGTTGATGCATTTGTGATTTTTATGGCCATGGCTGTAAATTCCCATCCCCAGGGCATAACGGCACCGTCCAGGTAGGGCCCGTAGACCAGGTATCTCCTCTGTGCCAGTCACGCGCTCCAGGCTTTGCATGTGGCATCTCCTTTTATCCCTGAAGCAGCCCGGCTGTGGGGGTCGTGGGTCTGGCTGGGCCCTCCCTTCCCTCCTGGCCTCTGCCCAGCCTCATCCCTGCTCGTGGAGGGCAAGGCCTTTACCGCTTGTGCCCCCTTTACTGAGACGGCAGGGGAAGGTCAGAACGGGGAAGCAACTTGCCCGTGGGGTCTCCTGGGGCCCGGGCTGCTGGCCCTGAGCGGACCTTCCCAACCAGCTGCTCTGTGCAGCTGTCAGGCCTGGCCCTGTTCGCCGAGACGGTGTGGGTGACCGCCGACCAGTACCGCGTGTACCCGCTGATGGGCGTCTCAGGCAAGGACGACGTCTTCGCTGGCGCCTGGATTGCCATCTTCTGCGGCTTCTCCTTCTTCGTGGTGGCCAGCTTCGGCGTGGGCGCGGCACTCTGCCGCCGCCGGTCCATGATCCTCACGGTGAGGCCCACGAGGAGGTGTCCGGGACGGGTGGGCGTGGAGATCGTTGTCGCAGAGTCATAATAACTGGCGTGGATTCCACGTGGCACCGCACTCAGGGCCTCGTGGGCGTCATTTCATTTCGTCTTCCCGTAGCCCAATCACCCAGGCTCAGCTGATACCCCTGTTGTACAAAACGACGACGACGGGGGCACAGGGAAGGGAGGAAAGTCTGCACAGCAGGACGACTGGAGTAGCAGGGCTGGGATTGGAACCCCAGCTAGTCTCCAGAGTCTGTGCTCGTGAGCTCTGCCAGTGATAAGGGTGACAAAAATGATGATAGCACAGCTACCATTTAACGAGTGATCACTAGTGCCAGGAGCTATTCTAAGTGATTTACACGGATCAGTTCATTGATTTCTCACAGCCAACCATGAGATACTATCATCATCATCATCATGACCCTGTTTGACAGAGATTGAAACACAGGCTCAGAGAGGTGAGGTAATTTATCCGGGGTCACACAGCAAGCGAATGGTAGAGCCGGTTTAAACCTGAGCGGTTCAGCTCTTGAGCCTGTGCTCTTAATGTCTCTCCACCACCAACAACCCACGCTTCCCCGGGATCTCTCCTGTGCCTGACACTAGGGTAAGCGGTTTAGAAAATGAGTTGCCTCAGTCCTCCCAGAAGCCCTCTGAAGTCAGGGCTTTTACCCATTTACCAGGTGAGGAAACTGAGGCTCAAAGAGGCCCGTGGCCTCTCCCAGGGGAAGGAGGGCAGAGGGAAGGTGCGGCTTGCCAGACTTTAGCTTTACCCTGAGTAAGATGGAGCCGTGTCTTCTCTATTCACTTGTCATTAGCTAAGACATAGAATTTTTTTTTTTTACTTTCTTATGGGAAATTTCAAACATCCACTAAAGTGGAGGGAAGGGTGTTCTGAGTCCCGTGAACCTGTCACCCAGTTTCAACCACAGACTGGCCAACGTCGTCACCTCTCCTGCAGCCTTTGCCTGACCACATTTTTTCTTCCTGGGGTATTCTGAAGCTCATTCTAGACACCATGTCATTTACTTGTCAATATTTGAGTGCACCCTTCTCGGAGTGATAAGGACGTTGTTTCAAAGCAGCGGGGCAGGTTATGCAATCTCACCCCATGGCGCAGCAGCGGAGTTGGCACGTCCACGCCCGACGTCCTGTTGCTTTACAGGCGAGGGTGAGCGGTGAAGACAGGGAGAGAATTTTCGTTAAACACCAACTATTGGGCTTTTTTCGCCCTGTACGCTGTTGGCACACCCCATAAAATTCACCCTAGGTCCTTCCTATCTTCCAATACCCAATCTGTGCTCAAATGTCCCTGGTTGTCTTTATTTGTTTTTTCTCTTTACAGCAGACATTTATTCTGCTGATGCCAAGGCAATAGTTAACTTCAGGAAATACTGTACCTTTTTTTGTTGTTGATTTCATTTTCCCTTAACCTTTTATTATAAACCATTTCAAACGTACAGAAATGTTGCAAGACTTGTACAGCGAACACGCAAATCCCGCCATGTACACGCTGGTGCTCACACTGTCCTGTGTTTTTAAAAAAATCATTGTATTTCTAGGCATGGATCCATCCCCCTGCGGGGGCGGGGGGTGGCATCATAGGCTCTGCCCTGACAGGCTGTCCCCCCTCTCCCCCCAGTACCTGCTGCTCATGCTTGTCGTCTACATCTTTGAGTGCGCCTCCTGCATCACGTCCTACACCCACCGCGACTACGTGAGGCGGGCGGACGGGCCAGGGGAGGGGCTGACCTGGGGGCAGTGGAGAGGGTCCCCGGCAGGGCGGAGACCGACCTCCCTCCCCACCCAGCCCTGCGCACCCTGCTCTTCCCCGCCCTCTGCAGATGGTGTCCAGCCCATCCCTGATCACCAAGCAGATGCTGACCTTCTACAGTGCAGACACAGGCCAGGGCCAGGAACTCACCCGCCTCTGGGACCGCGTCATGATGGAGGTGGGCGGGGAGGGCGGGGTGCGGCGAGGGCCTGGGGCTTTCTCCGCGGAGGTAGGTAGGGCTCCCGTAGGCGCGCTGGTGGATGAGTGAGTGCTTTGAAGACGTCCCTCTGGGACCCCTATGAGGGCAGGGCTGCAGTCATCACCACTTTCCAGATGAATAAACAGGCCCAGGAGGGGAAGGTCTCTTGCCCGGAGTCAAGCAGTTGCTGAGTGGTGGGGCTGGGACTGGAACCTGGCAGCCGAGATCCGGAGCTCTTAACCGTCGTACCTACTGCTTCCAGAGGAAGAACGACAATAATAACAGCAACCACTTATGGAGCACTGAGTTTTGTGTAGCGTTGTTCAAAGTACTTTTAAAGCTTATTTAATCTGCACAATCATCCCACAAGGGAGATCAGCTTTTTAGCAAGAAAACCAAGGCAAGAGATTGGATGGCTTTCGTGAGGTCACACAGCTGGTAGGTCACAGAACAGGAAGTATTCAAACCCAGGTTCCAGAAGCCACACTCTTAATTAAATCCAAGGTTATATTGCATCAGAAGAGGAAGAAATTAAGGGCTCAAGGGAAATTGTGGTCCCAACCTGGCCCTACTCCTGTAGCTGGCCCGGATTTGAACCCATGGTTGAAGGACGCCCGAGCCTATGTTTTCATCATTCGGGAGCCACAAATTAAACACGCACCAGGGCCAGGGAAAGCCAGAAATCTGCCTTTTTGTCATTTTGTCAGCATGGCTGTCGTGAGTGTGGGTTTGATCCAAATCCCCCATCAGCCTTCTGGTCCTCGGACGAATATCGTCTGATCCTTGCGCGCACACGCACGCTCCCTCCCCCACCAGGACATGGGGACGTTGGGCCCAGCTGTGTGGGAGGCCAACCCTGCTTCTCCTCGCTGTGCAACCTCCGGCAAGCGGCTCCTCTCTGAGCCCGAGCCTGCCCAACCCCCACCTTTCCCTGCAGCAAGAATGCTGCGGCACCTCCGGCCCCATGGACTGGGTGAACTTCACATCGGCCTTCCGGGAGGCCACTCCGGAGGTGGTGTTCCCCTGGCCCCCACTGTGCTGTCGCCGGACGGGAAACTTCATCCCCCTGAACGAAGAGGGCTGCCGCCTGGGCCACGTGGACTACCTGTTCACCAAGGTGTGTCCCCTTCCCCCGACTGCGCCTGTCTGTTGATCTTTCTCTGGGCTCTGCCCCCTCTTACTCCCTCTCTGGTTCTTATACCTCCTTCTCTCTCCCACTGTCTGTCTGTCCATCTCCTTCCCTCTCCTCCTCCCACCTGTGGTTTTGTCGCCTCTCTCTCTCTCTCTCTCTCTCTCTCTCTCTCTCTCTCTCTCTCTGGCTCTCCCAGCTCTCTGCAAGTTAGCAGGATGCATAGGGGATCTGTGCCATCCAACCTGGCACCTGCGACGTCTCTCAGGTTGTCTGGGACTAGGAGCGACAACAGTAATAGCAATGGCACAACGCCAATCACAGCAGCATTTATCACACCTGTACCTCATACCAGGCATCCTTCTCAGTGCTTCACGTTTATATCTTATTTAATCCTCGGCACAATCTTATCATGAGGTAAAGATTTTAATGACCCCATTCTACAGATGAGAAAACTGAGAGGTCACTCGCTAGCAAGGGATGGAGTTGGGATTCGATTTTAGGCGGTCGGGCCCCAGTCAGGTGCTTTAACTGCGGCCAGGCAAGCCCGGAGGCAGGGAGGGCAACCGGAAGGGGTCAGGCTAGGAGAGAACTCTCGGCTTGCGTTAGAGCAGAGGGGGAGCCCACGTGTAAACGGTAACCGTGACGGGACTAGGGCGCCGCTTCTCAAGCCCCGCCTCTGCGCACAGTGCCACGTGCGTGCGTCACCTCCTGGGATCCCCGCAACCGCTCCCAGAGCGCAGGGCCATCCTGACCGCCGCTTCTCGGCTGGGGAAACTGACGCTCAGACGGTCGCAATGATACCGAGGCTCTTGCAGCCACCGACAAACGGCAGAGCTGGCCCCAGCGCGGTCCCGCCTGCCTGCAGGGCACACGCCCGCGCCTTTGTCTCCGCTGCTTCCAGGCTGGGGCTCTGGTGTGGGACGAAAGCTAAAGGAGGTGTGTCATCCCTAAAGGAGGAGGTGTCGGAACTGGACTAACCCTAACGGCGTATTTCAAACCCCCGGGACTCGGGCTGCGCAGAAAGCCGGCGCCAAACAAAATCCCCCTCAGACTGTCATAGCCACCATCAGGGCAGCACCTGCTTGTGCCGGGCCGGGGTTCAGTGTCACCTCCCTGGCTCCCCAAAACCACCCCGGAAGGTAAACACTGCCAAGACCCCCATTGCACGGGTGAGAAAACCGAGGCTCAGAAAAGAAAGTGACTTTCCCCGGGGCGCACAGTGACTCGCGCCTTCAGCCGCCAGCCTCCCTGGGCGTCTCCTCAGACCCCCGCTGTCCCCCTGCCCAGGGCTGCTTCGAGCACATCGGCCATGCCATCGACAGCTACACATGGGGCATCTCGTGGTTTGGGTTTGCCATCCTGATGTGGACGGTGAGTGGTGGGGACCCGTGGGCCGGGTGGGTGTGGGTGTGCGGCTGGAGCGCCCCTCATGTCCCTGCGTCCCCCCAGCTTCCGGTGATGCTGATAGCCATGTATTTCTACGCCACGCTCTGAGGAGCAAGAAGGGAAGGCCACGTTCACAGCTCAGCCTCCCTGCCTCCCGCTCCTGCCCGCTCCAGCCAGGGCCTGCGTGGCCGCCTCCCCTCTCCCCTTCCCTCCACCCCCAAGATCTTTTTCCAGGTTTCTGAGCCCTACTGGGCCTCGGGTGTGTCCTGAAAGCTGAGGACTTGTGTGCATGGACCCTTAGCTCTTCCCGGCCCATCTTTCAGATGTCAACTTAAAAGACCTGTCCTCAGGGACCCTTCCCCGATACCATCATTCACAGATGCCTCTCGTGTAGCTCCGAGCTCCTCCCTCATGGCAGGTGTCCCTGTTACCGCTGAATAGCTTGTGATTGTCTGTTTAAGCTCTGGTGGACTGGGATTGCCGTGAGAGGAGAGACAAGTTCTGTCATGGTCACTTTACTGTCCCTGTCATTGCCCAGCACAGAGCCAAGCATAGACCAGATATTCAATAAATACTGATTGAATGAATGAATGAGTGAATGAATTTGTTTTCCTCTGGGTCAAAGGCAAACAAACAAGAACTCTTCCAATGGAAGAGGCAGAAACCCAACTGGCACTGACTGAGGCATGAAATGGAGTCTCTTGGCTCATTTAACTGAGTCCGTAGGGCTGGCTTCAGGCATGTCTGGATCCAGGGGTTCAATCTAGGTTTCCAGGAGACCTGCTGCATCCTCAGAAAGGATTTCTCTGGCAACACCAGACTTACGTCTTTGTAGCTAAGCAACACAGCAGTGAGAAAGGGCCTCTATCTCAATAGCTTTAGCCAAGGTGAGGAATTGGATCTCACTGCCCTGGTTTAGGTTCTAGGCCTATCCTGTGGTTGGGGAAGGATTGATAATCCTGCTAAGGATGCGACCAGTAGTGGTGTCGGGGACAGGGGGGTTGTTTATCAAAGGAAAATCAGGGTACAGGGCTATTGAGATGTACAGGTGATAGACATCCTCCTTCTAGAAAGTTCTCTAAGGGGTCCATGACAGCAAACAGTTTAAGAATCCCTCTTTTGTTCTCCCAGAAGTAGCCTCATCCTTCTGGCCATTATGCAGCAACTAGGCCTTGCCAGAAGGGCCTGGCTTCTTTCCCCATCAAACAAAATTTCTCTGAGTCCTCATCTGTCCCATCGGTCTGCAGGTGGTCTGCAGATACTCGATTCAGATTCCGTTTTAGCCATGCTATGTCCATGCTCTAGAATACCACACAGCAGTAAAAAACGACGAGCAAGAACTCTGTGTTTTAACATGGAAAACACTCCAAGAAATACAGAGCAGAAACAACTGAAAACTACGTGCAGTACATTGTGCTGAAGTGATTTCATTTTTGTAAAAATTGTACACACATATTTCCCACGAAGGACTCCTTTGAGGAGGGGATTCGGGTGGAGGGCTGAGAGGAGGGGAAACTTTCACCATGCGTATTTTATCATACATACTTTTATAATGTTTGAAACAATTTTTATGGAGATCATCTGTTATTTTTCAAAACCAAAAACCAATAAAGGGATTTCTAAAATACTGAACAGTATACAGCTTTACTTTGCAAATCAGATTTTTAAAAACACCACATAGATGTGATGCACGTCATATTTTATCACACAAGAGCCCCCTCCAGGTTAACCGGACTAACTGGCTCTTCTGCAAGCCCCAGAAACTTCTCCCCCATCCCTGGGCATATATTTAAATGGCTTGGAAACATGTCAAAGAAAGGGAGGATCCCATCCTAATCAGCTTTGAAGTCAGGTGTCTTCACCAGCAAGTTCATGGTGACTTAGTCTGTGACTGAGATTCTCTGACAGGGGTAAAAAGTCAGGGCTGGGTTCTCACCAGCCCCATCAGATTCTTTGAGCCTCAGTGTGCCCCTCTGTGAAATGGGGGTTGTAACAGTCCCTACGTCATAGCATAGGGCCACATTCCAAGAGCTTGGGAAACAGCAGACCTTTTTATTACAAATCATGGGTTTTCTCAATCCAGCGTAATCAGAGCCAAATGCAGAAATAAACTGCTCGCTAGGGCGGCAATTGCCTCTAGTGAATTTCGATTTCAAATGTTTGGGGCTCTATCCATCCTTGACATACAGAAATTGATTTGCCAAAGTAAGTCACATGTTTGCATTTACACAAGTAAAGTCACACTTGAAAACACTTGGTACTTTCCATGAGAGATGCTCAACTCACAGGCTTAGCATATATTAGAGTTAATGTGAGGGTCTTTAAAGAATGTTCGAGGAGTTAGGCCGGGCGCGGTGGCTCACGCCTGTAATCCTAGCACTCTGGGAGGCTGAGGTGGGTGGATTGTTTGAGCTCAGGAGTTCAAGACCAGCCTGAGCAAGAGCGAGACCCCGTCTCTACTAAAAATAGAAAGAAATTATTTAGACAACTAAAAATCTATATAGAAAAAATTAGCCGGGCATGGTGGCACATGTCTATAGTCCCAGCTACTCAGGAGGCTGAGGCAGTAGGATTGCTTGAGCCCAGGAGTTTGAGGTTGCTGTGAGCTAGGCTGACGCCATGGCACTCTACTCCAGGAAACAGAGTGAGACTCTGTCTCAAAAAAAAAGAATGTTTGAGGAGTTAATGGCGATTGATTGATACGCATTAAATCAGTTTTTTTCCTTAAATATCACATTACAAAAGAATACTTTATGGCATGAAAACGTACTTGAGAAATTGTAAGCGAAAAACACAGATTACAATATAGCATGCTAAGTATAATTCCTTTTCTGATAAAAATATAAATATGTGCATGTTTGCATTTTTTAAAAAAAAGTCTCCCAAAAGTCGACATTAGTTATTAAAAAAAGAGGAGACACTTTCGGGGGATTTTTATTTCATTCATTGGGTATTTTGGTATTTCCAAATATTCTATGATGATTATTGCCTTTGTTCTCCAATAAAAAAATCAAGAAATAAATGTTAATAAAAATGCCACTGCTAGACATGGAATGTAGACTGAGAGAAGAATTATTCTGCGAAACATTTTCTAACTTTATCTGAGTAATTAAGACAGACCAGGCCTTGCAGGATGTGGGGGACGTGGGGTCGCTCTGGCCTCTGGGTGGTCAGGTAGGCAGGTCTCCGTCTCGGTCCCAGGTCTGCCACTGCAATCTCTGGCTCCATCTCGCCACAAACCTGCAGAGTGCGGCTCAGCCGGACTGGCAGCAGCCTGGTTCGACCAAGGCAGGCCTCAACTGGCAGGACAAGTTTGTCTGCCCTTGCCCCTCACTCAGAGGCCAGTTTCTGTGGGTGAGAGGGGAGCAAAGAGGTCAGGGATCCTGAGGGAAAAGCAGTCATTAGATGGCTGTTCCTACCACACCCCCACATGACCACATCCCTCTTTTTGCCTCTAACCCTCTATGGCTCCCCAGTACTCTCAGCACAAGGTACAGCTCCTCATCTAGCACTGAGGGCCCATGTGGCTTGGCCCCTTGTTGCCTCCCCAAACATCTCTCTCTTTCTCCTGCCCCACTGAGCTCTCTCTCATGCTCTGAGATCATGGAAATAGAAAGAATGAACTATAATGTAAATGGGGTCCACACCTCTGACTATCTGACTACATCCACTTTTGCTTATTACACTCCTTCCATGAGGACAAGTTGGCTTTTTCACTCAAATGTAAAACTCACACCCTTTGGGCCATCTGATTCCACCCCCAGAAAAGTTTACATCGTTGCATAAGGTCTCCCAGAATGGGGATGTAAGTCCTGGGTATTCAAGGACTGTGCTATAAAAACTGAACTCTTCACATCCAGCGAGAACCTATCTTATGCAGACAGTATCACTGACACCTTGTTCCCCGGGGACCGCGGGCCCAGGAAGCTTTGCTGAGACATGTTGCAGCTGCCCCGTACTAGGTGGTAAAATTGTGCATATCTTTTCAGTAAAATTGTGAATATCCTCAACTCATTCATACATTCATTCATTCAAATATTTATTGCTTGCCTAACGTACAGCAGGCACTGTTCTAGGTTCTGAGGAAACAGCAGGGAGCAAATCAGACCTAGTCTCTCCCTTTATAAAGCTCACCTTCTGGAGGCGGAGAAAGATAAAACCAGTAAGAGAAATAGACAGGTCAGAGGATAATAACTGCTAAGGAAAAAATAAATGAAAGAATGAAAAAACAGGCCGGGTACAGTGGCTCAAGCCTGTAATCCTAGCACTCTGGGAGACCGAGGCGGGTGGATTCGTTTGAGCTCAGGAGTTGGAGACCAGCCTGAGCAAGAGCACGACCCCCGTCTCTACTAAAAATAGAAACAAATTAGCTGAACAACTAAAAATATATAGAAAAAAATGAGCCGGGCATGGTGGCGCATGCCTGTCCCAGCTACTCGGGAGGCTGAGGCAGGAGGATCACTTGAGCCCCGGAGTTTGAGGTTGCTGTGAGCTAGGCTGACACCATGGCACTCTAGCCCGGGCAACAGAGTGAGACTCTGTCTCAAAAAAGAATGAAAAAACAAAACAAAAACCTAGCCAGGGAAGAAGGCAGGGAGCTTCAGCATCCTGATGGATATGTGAGCCTCCAGCCGTGGCAGGGCACCCCCTCTAGATTGTTTCCATTGTCCTGTTCAGGTGCTACGCTGTGACCCACACATCACCATGTGTGGGGGGCAGGAAAGTTCTGATTGACCATTCGTGGGGTACTCACTTGCCCTTGGAGCAGGGATGGAGTCAGCTGCATGCACAGGGCCCAGCCTGGGAGCGAGGAGGGGTTGGTTACCCACAGCAGGCTTAGACCCTGAGCCTGGCAAAGGTGAACAGACCCTGGGGACAGAAAGGACCACTATCCCCTCCTCCCTTCAACTTCCTCCTGACGATTCTGTGATAAGTGACACAGGAAGCACAGAGAAGTTAACGCTATCCATTATCATCACTGTTGTTTTTATTACTAGCAGGGGCCTCCGTCACCCACCTATGCCAGTTAGCAATTTACTGCCTCTCGGTTCAGCATTTGTCAGCTGGCACAAGGTTAGGCCTTGTCAATAGGGGGCGCTGGAGGGACACTGCAGAAGTTAGGGGCCTCTCTTCCTGATTCCAGTGCCCTGTCCTGCTTCCTACTGGGCTGTGGCCGGCAGCGGGTGGCTGTTACTCTTCTCCACAT